TTCTGCTCGTGGACGGAGTGGGAGGGTTGTGTGTATTTCCAGCCCGCATGAGCAGAAAGTGCTTCCCACCTGTTGGATTAAATTCCCCAAATGGCCACCATCCATTTTTATTTTGACTCACCCTCTCAGACACTGGTCTGTTTACTCAGAACAGGCCAACTGGTTCTACTTTTTCTTAGAATATAATTGAGTCCCTTTGCCTTTAAGCATACTATAGAGTGCCTTCCCCACTGTGACCAAACCTGACTCCTGTGTGGTATTTCCCTCCCAGCCTCAGACTTACAGACACTACAGACCCCTATTTACAAAAAAGCATTTGGAAACTGTACAAATTTTTTAAATGAGATCAGAAACTAAATATATAAAACGTAATTCAATTTCCTGAGCCCCATTCTAAGAATAAGAATACTAAAACAAATCAAATATGAGAAGTAACATTTAAAAAACATGAAAAAAAAAAAGGAAACCAGCAGAACACTTCCAACATTACTGGTGTTCATCAAATGAGCAAAGTCATATTCTGTAATCTGGAAAACAGCTGGACTGTTCCCTACACTTACTTTCCTAGTTTAAAGTAACATTTTTCATAAAATAAATTTTTATTATTTATAATAATAAATAACAGATTATTAAATCTGTTAAAACTTGACAAAGAATTAGTCTCTCAAAAATTTTGTTAAGTGGCTGAACTTGGCAAGAGAAACCATTTTCTGCAACAAGCATGCTGAAACTAATTGGGGGGGGAGCTTTTACTAACAAAAGTGTCTGATTAGATAAGATAATGCAATACATCTATTATCTCTATTGTAACAATACTATTCACACGACTAGAGCTAAGACTCTTAGCATTTCCATTATAAAAACCTGTTTTTCAACTCTGCCACCTGCCATCCATTAAAAAAAAAATTGTTCTCCTATAGCATTCAAGTGTTGATCCTAGAAACCTTCTACCACCACTTCCACTAAATGTTTTTGTTCTTTAGATTACCATGCAAATATCGTAAGAGTGTATTGTGTCTCCACATTGCACAGGTCTGATTTCAAATATTAAAGTTTTAATCTGCAAGCAAGAATCACAGGAACATTCATTCCAGAAATCCATCAGTAAGTACCAGAGGTCAAATTGCTAGACTCTTAGCCATCAGAACATCACTCTCACATCCAAAATAACAGTTAAAGATATTTATGATACTGAAGACGACATCGATAGTGATACAATGTTCTTCATCTGACTAAAGGAGGAAGAACAAATCTAACATGGTAGTATGAAATAGAGATGTGTGAAAATGAAGAAACAGGTAAAGGAGCTAAATTCATGGCAAGGAAAAGCAGTATGCAATGATGACATAACAGCAAGAGCAAAGTAGGGCCCGCCCAGTGGTGCAGCGGTTAAGTTCGCACATTCTGCTTCTCGGCAGCCTGGGGTTCGCCAGTTCGGATCCTGGGTGTGGACATGGCACCACTTGGCAAAAAGCCATGCTGTGGTAGGCGTCCCACATATAGAGTAGAGGAAGATGGGCATGGATGTTAGCTCAGGGCCATTCTTCCTCAGCAAAAAGAGGAAGATTGGCAGTAGTTAGCTCAGGGCTAATCTTCCTCAACAACGACAAAAAAAAAGCAAAGTGGGCCACATACAAACTAACTACTCTCTCCAAGAAGTGTTAGTTATTTACTAAACAAAGGCCCAAATCTAAGGCACAGTTTATTTTTCCCCAAAAAATTATCCCTAAGAGGAAATTGTTTTCTATTTCTAATAAAGTCTGTATAAAGTCTTTCTTACTACCGGGAGCTCTTACTCTCTCCATTCCCTTATTCTGAATAACAGCAAATCACTTGGAGAAGACATTACCCTGAGCAACAGGCTCTCCAGAAGCCTCGCGAATTCCCCTGAATCAGTCAAAATAGCCGCAAGAGACTGAACCCTGATTTAACTCCCAGGGATATAACCTCACACTGGCAAGTATGGGATTTCACTGTAAACAAGCCTTTCAAAGATTAATTTTTAAAAAGCATTATAATAAGTGGTTACACTTTAGAGATCAACATATATGCTTCTACAGGAGGAAAGACAAAACCAACTGTTCTTTAATTATGGCGACAGGCGCCCAGGAGAAAATTTGCAGGGGACCACATCACAGATACATTCAAAATATGCTGGATTTCAAACAAGTCACATGAAGTGAAGTCTAGAAAACTGTGTCAGACAACTCAAAAAGTGATTGTAGAGAGGAAAAAAACTCTATGTAGACGATGTCCTTGAAGAGTTTAAATAAAACTGTTTCATGAAAAGCCAGCAGAGAAAAGTAACATTTTAAAATTATTTCATATAGTGCAATTTAAATATGTATTTATAACTTAACTAAATGTAAGGATATTTGACAGCTTCATCTCCATTCTTAAAGTTTATATATTCCAGTTAGTCAAAACACTTTAATTTCATTTTCTCATTGGGAAAAAGGGGGAATCACCTTATATTGAGATCATCTCTATTTACCACCTGCAATAAATGAAAAAATAAAAACAAGGACCAAATATTTTCATTTTTTAAATTATTTCCCTCAGTGCATTGCATTGTATATCATAGATATGTCGAATAGTTAAACAACATGTTAAAATTTACTTCATATAAATGAAAAGGCCTCCATAGAATGTCTCGTGAAAGAAACATCAGAGTATTTCATGGGTTTAATACATAAAGAAAATACTTCCTCTCCAAAAAGTTATTATAAATTTGCTATATGTCTATTTTTGAAAATATATTTACCTATATACCTGTATGCACATGTTTTTTTAAACCGGGGGGAAGGGGGGAGCAGCTGCTAAGATGTCCAAACCCAGGGTCTGCAAGACAGCTTTGTAGTATTTTTTCCAAAATGACTTAGTATACATTTTTGAAAACCATGCTTAATCCTTAACATGAAGTTAATACACTTACAGCGCTCAGAACAATGCCTAGCACACAGTAAAAGCTAAGTATGTTTTAGATATTAGCACGAATTGCTAAACCAAAAACTAGGGTGTTAAAGGTTGTAACATTATTTACTTACTTGTATTTTATTGCAAAAAGCAAACTCTGCAATTTCATTTGTTATAAATCATAGATAAGTAAAATAATACCAAAACTGGGGACTGTACTTGAACGATTACTACAGGCACTTCGTATTGACCGTAAATCTCCCAGCGCTCCATTCTGAAGCCTGCTAAAGCAGCCATCATTACTAACTCTGTCACACTACTCGGATCTCTTTAATACCCACCACATTTCATGAGGAACAGCATTAAAAACGTAGGTTAATGAAACTTGCAATAAATTAAGGGTTTAATATAGTGTGCAGAATTTTTCTTCAAATATTTACCTAAACTCTAACAAAAGGAGTTATATTTGGTCTGCCCAAAACAGTAGCTTAACACCTTTCAAGTCTTAAAAGGATAACTGCTTTAGAAGAATGAAGGACAGGGCTTCATCTCCGAGTCCCCCACACCGCGTAGCTCAGTATTTTTTACATAGTAAGTATACACGGAACAGGCACAACGAAAATGACTCCTTATGAAAGTCAAAGAATAATAAGACTTCTTACCAAACCAACACGGGCAGCATATCTTACGCATTAGTATATGAAAAGAATAACCTTCACCAAAGAGAGAGTATATATGGTATCTTTGTTAAAACAAATGTGATAACCAACTTTCTTCACATTACACTATAGTATAGTAAATGGAAGTCTGACTCAAAAAAGTAAGTGTGTATTACAATAACTCCATTCAAGGTTTTCACAATAACCAATATTCCAAGTTAGTAGGAAGCAAGGAGATATCTACTGCGTCAAGGGGTGACCAAGGCTCTGGAGACTGAGCTGCAAAAACACCTGAGCTTCTCTTCGAAAAATTAATAATGTATTTTAAGAAGAAAAAAGTAAAAGGTAGAAAAAGTGTCACTGAAACCAACCTAATCATGAGTTGAGAGGAGAGACATAAGAGCTATGGCACAGCAATAAAAGGCAAAATACCATCCAGAGTGCTTTAACCCATAGCTAAGAAGGTGACAGCATTAACAGCCTATGATATAACCTGGACGGCAGAGTCAGATAATAAAAACGAAAGGAACTTCATCTATAAAGACCAAACAGAGGTAGAAAGTAACCACTCCATAAAGGAGAAAGGGACAGGAGTAACACTGAAGGCCTGAGTCCAGGGAAGAAACTTGCAGGCCTGCATGGACCCGGAGCGGCAACAACAGTGCCCCCTTGATATGGTAAATGGCAGCATTCTGAGACCTTCCCAAACTCATGAGTATCAAAGGTGAAACTGACATGTGGGAACCTCTGCTAGGTTCACTCACTAGCCAGATGACTAGAATTTGCACTCCAGCTCTCTGACAGCTAATCCCTACATACGTTATTTTTATTTAATTCTCATAACCCCACGACTCTATGAAACTGATATTATTCTCATAACAAATGACCATGAAACTGATATTATCCTCATAACAAACTACTAAATTCACGGACTTTCTGGATACCTGAAAATAACTGAAACCCCAAATACCAAATTCACAAATGTCAAGGACCTTGTGCAGGTGTGTCCAATCTTTCGGAGTACAAAGACCCCACATGGTGATATAATACTTTCAATTGCCAATGACTAAGACAACACATACATACATTCAAAGATCTTCCTGCAATAAATCTGGTGAGTCTCTCATCCCCAGGGTCTACAGACAACTAGGTGAGAAGCACCAATCCACTATACATACAGGCTTGAGTAAGCGCATCGTTGATTGCATGATTAGTTTTGTGGGGCTTAAAATATTCACTCTATTACCACCATATGTTTCAAATTGTAAATAGTTTCTTCCTAAATATCCTCCCCAACATCACACACATACAAAATCTATGCAATTTCCAGACCTATTTTGTGAATAACACAAGTGATAAAAGTAAGTTCCAATTACTACATCTGTTTGGATATTGTCAACCCTTCCTAACCCTCCCAATACTCACCCGGCATCGTCACCAGGATGGAGGAAAAAAAAGGACTGTTGTTAGGTCCGGGGACTGTGGCACACAGTGTAGTGGTTAACGCTCTGAAACCAGCCTGCCTGGGTAAGAATCACAGCTCCACCCTTGTTACCTATGTGACTTTGGTCCAGTGCTTTAATCTCTTGGTGTCTCAAAGGCCTCATGTGCAAAACAGGGATTAAACAGAAAAAATTCACACGTTGTCGAGTTATGAGAATATATGTAAAGCAGTTAGGACAGTGTCTGGCACATAGTAGGTATTATGTAAGCGCAAGTAAAACAAAATCTACACATAAAAACTCAACGCTGGACTGATATAATCTGAACAGAAAGAAGGGCACCACATTATTATAAGCATCTTTGAAAGACTTAACACAACTATTCATGTATTCAAAGGCTATTTCCCTGCAGCCAGTGTAAGGGGGATCTACACTGAACTACTGCACTGCTTTCTTTCCTATCCACTGCCTCTTTTCCATTGCCCTTTTACACCTTTCCTCTCGGTCCATATTTTAGCTCATCAATACCCACCTCAAAGAGTGCTTAGCCCTGAGGAAAACAACCAGAAGTTTACAACACAAGACAGCTCCTTTTGGCAAACATCAAGTCGTTCATCGGATGTGAAGACTCTCACCAAATATGTCTGCCACAGAGAACTAAGTAAAGAGAAAATCGCAGAACGCAACTACATAAGATACATAAGATAATGCATGTAAACCAATGCATTATCTTACGTAACTACATAAGATAATGCATGTAAACCAATGCATGTAGCATAGGGGCTGCCACTCCACAAATGTGAGTTGTTGTCATTAATTCTACTAACAATAGCCCGATAAAAGCATTACTCAATCTCTCTGCTTTAAGGCAAAAACAAATTTGTATTTGGTTGCTAGTGTTCACATTTTTGTTGTTATAAGCAAATGGAATTTATACATCAAACAACATGGATGAATCTCCAAAACATTTTGAGTTAGAAAAGCCAGACACAAAAGGGTACATACTATATGATTCTGCATATATGACTCCAGTGAACAAGAAGGGACAGAATCAGAAAGTAGCTGCTGCATAGGGGAGAGGGAAGGGAAAATCGACTGGCAAGAGGTACAACAAAATTTTCTGGGGTGAAGGAAACATTCTCCATCATCTTGGGGTGGTGGTACATGGGTGTACAAAATGGGAAAATAGTCATTGAGCTGAACACTGAAGACCTGTACATTTTATTGGATATAAATCATACCCGAATTCTTAAAAAATTTAAAAAGCAAATGCCTCTGTATATATTCTTGGTAATTTAGAGTAGGAATGTTATACATAGGTGATTTAAGAGAGGGAAGATTAGAATAATTGCCTGAGAAATATGGGGTCAAAGATTACGAGTTATAGTCCAGGGAGGACAAATATATGCATTTATTTTTTTAATAAAACTCCATCTAAGAATAAAACCTTTTCCCTATCCATCTTATTTACATCCATCTCATCCATATCCTATTGTTTCTGTTAGTTCTGATCACTGACTCATTCTTCCACTCGTCTCAGGGTTTGTAGTCTCTGCTTACACCATGATACTAACAGAGTTAACAAAAAGAAATACTATGAATACTCAATCAAAACAGCAATGTTTTTATTAAATAGACCAGCAGCTGTGTGAGCAGAGACTTGTAAATGCATCTGTTCTACAGGATTTTATGTTTAATTCGATTTGTTGAAATCAGAGCAGCAAGGCCCTAAACCTATAGGCTAGACAAGAAAATAGTTTTGCTAAACAGGATCAGACATTAAAACGGTGTTCGTCAGAAGAGAATTGTACCTATTCATTGATTCACGCACTCAAGCAACAAGCACTTACTGAGCACCTTTTCCATCCCAGCCATTGTGTACAGTGCTGGGAACACAAAGCTGAAGCACAGCCTGGTAGAGGTGACAGACATCTGAACAGATGGTTATAATACATTGGCAGGTTCAATAATACACAGAGGCCTGGGGTAGTACTACGAAAGCAAGGAGGAGGGGAAGATTTCCTTTGAAGACTGAAGCTTTTCTGGAATAAACAGGCAGAAAGGGAGAATGAAAAATGTACTCCCACCTAATCTGCACTCCATACGTAAGGGAACTTCAGCTGTATCAGTAATGTTTTATTTCTAAATCTGAATAGGGGGTATATAGTTGTTCCTTATCTTATTCTTTTAGTCCTTTTCTGTATCCAATATTTCATAATAAAAAATTTTAGTATAGTCCACCAAGGAGTGTGTGTAGATTCTGAAAACCTTCACCACCAGCAGCTCCTCCTCCCAGGACAAGCAGCTTAGAGTTGCCAGGGTTAGCTCATCCAAAATGAGTAAATGGGGAAAAGAGACAGGCTTCAGAGTTCTCTTGTGATGGCTGTGTACGAGGCCTGGAAAGGCACAAGGGGGTGGGCCCAAGATATCAAAATATACTGTAAAATAAAAAAGATGCAAAATGGGTATGTAAACATATTTCAGCTTCATTTTATACATACACAGGAAAAATCAGAATATATACCTTTGCCGCAGAAAAGACCAGTTTATCACAAACAACAAACTCCATTCATTCTGATCACTATTCTCTCAACAAACACTGAATACTTGCTCCATGCCACATACATTCAGAAAAAAGAAAGCTCTTGCCTCCAAACTGCCCACAGGCAAATGAGAGGAGTCAGTCAGGTGAGCCGCCCTGTGGGGGACAATGGGGAGGCTCGACAACAGGGCAAGTGACGGGGAAAGAAACAGCAAGCACTAACCTTGCAACATTTGCCATCCTCACAGGTCACACCAATAAATCTTGGAAATATTGCAAAATACATATGGGAAAGAAAGAAAATATATTTTGAAAATATGTTTTAATTATTAAAAATTAATTTTATTGTGCTTCATAATACCTGACATCAAAAGGTCTGAAATTTTCAGTAATGATGAAACACCAATTGTTCTCCTATTCCATAAATAAGTAACCACATCATCTCAGTAGCACTTCCTAACAAGGGGAAAAAAAGCCAAAATTCTGGAACTCATTTAAAAGTGCAAGGTGCCACTACCCTGCTGAAATAATACTGCCTTGAGCCAAAATGACTGAAGGGAATGTGGTAGAGCCTTTAAGCAAAGGCAGACTCCTCATGACTACAGTAGCTGTGTAATACGTTTGCATTATAATACAACTCAGTTACTTATTATTCTTCTACTATTCTCAGACACTAAATGATCAGTCTTCAAATAATTTTTTGGAATCTTCAGTTTTCGATCCTAAAAAATCTGTTTAACTCTATATAAATCATATATATAAGCACACACACATACACACATACACAGATAAGTGAATTTAAGGTATTAATTTTTTTTAATTGACTTTCCTCTCCTTCCTCCAATCCTACTGTAATCCAACATGCTATAAGAACAATGCTGCTGCTTACACACCTCCTCCTTCTTGCACTGGAGAGTTTAAAGGTAAGGGGCAAGACAGATTTGTGATGTTTTGATAGAGTGTGTTGCCATGGAAATGACTGCCTTGTTTCTTATGAAGCATCATGACCTCATTGCAAATGAAAAAAGAAAAGGATGATTTCTGAGGATTCAACTCAGAGAAAAATTAACAGCTAGAAAAAAATCAAAAAACTAAACAATCTGGAAAATATTGCAATGTCAAGTGCTATACTGAAATATTTTCAAAGAACTTTTAAAAGGTTGACCTCCAAAATAGGAACCCTATAATCAAAAAGGAAGATATAATATTAATGTGAAGATAAACCATTCAAATAACATGGACTTGTGGTTTCTAAATAAATACATTACAGCCTCAATCCTGATAGACCATGAGCAAAATCCCATGACTTTCTGTGCCTACATTATAAAATTAAATCCACATCATACTTTTCCCTTCCTAAAAGCAGCCTGCTTTTTTCTCGCTTTTTTTTCTTTTTCTTTTTTTTTTTTTTTTTTGGTGCCCCTGTTTATACAGCTTATCCCTTATCACACTGACAAGACTGAGAACCACAGCAGATGGTCCCCCCAGACATAATTCTAACAGGTTTTTTGTGCAAACAAAAGATAAAGAAGGCTACAGCAATGATTTACTGATATCTGAAGTTGAAAACTGACAAAACACAAACTGCTTTTTTCTTACTGTTTAAACTGTTTATCCTTTAAACTACTAAGATAGATACGGCCAAAATTCAATATGATTTCAAAACTACAAAACCAAATACCCAGTTTTAACAGCCATTAAGTTTTGAGTTACCAGAATGTCCTAAATCATATTTTTAAAAAACACTACCCACCATTCCCTTTGTACTAGCAAAAGAGGAAAACATTTGTAAATTTCTACCTTATCAATCCTACTTAGTTGCTACATTGTGAAATGAACTACTCATCCGGACTTTTCTTAAGCAAGGAAAATGCATTTGAATTAAAAACTCCAAAATATTTTCCCCAAGAAGAACTAACTAAAGACTGAATTAAGTGAACCAAATCTGGAATCTTGGTTATAGGGCTAAAGTCTATTCTATTTCAAAATAACCCACCAATTGAATATACCACAAAACCAAATGGAAAATGTCCCCAAAATTACTCATCCTTCAAGATTAAAGACTGTTTACACACCATAAAACAGAAGCTCCCTCATGACAACCTAATTGCAAAGAGCACTGTTTTTATGGTATACCTGAAAATCCAGCAAGAGCCCCAAACGATAATATATAATGAAACTGACAAGCATCTGAAATAAACTACCCAGACATCAAGCAAAAATACACCAGACAGACCCACAGGGCTCTTTTAATGTAGGTCATGATTGTCAGACCATAGCAAAAACATAGTGACCCTTGATAAAAATTAACCTTGATTATATGTAATCATGCACATATTTTGCTCTCAGTAACCAGTCCTCTGAAATAAGTCCATGAAGCTGCAAGAGGTGGATATCACAGCCTGCTGTGAACTACTTTTCACCAAAGAAAATGTCTGCCCGTCATAT